AAAAGCTTTGAGAAAGGTTTATTTGCACAATAAGAAAACATGCAATGCAATTTAAATATAGAAGAAATAAATGTGCATTGTCCAAGAAAGTTACTTAAGCAACAAAAAAATCTACTGATTACTGCATTATATTCCCTTTTATTGTTGTAAGTAAAGACATTTACTCCATAAATTGGTGCAGAAACTTTCTCCAGAATGCAGGAAATTAATTAATGCTCAAAATCTTCTGGGGAGGACACCCAGACCCCCCACTTATACATTTTATCATTGAATATTTCTTCAAAGTAGTGTTAAACTACCTTAATTGTCCCAGATTGCTGGATGTGTCCCTGATGTTAACATATATTTAAATATGACGTTTGTTAGCAAATATCAACGTTACCTCTAGAAATTTAAGGTAGCAGAGTTTGACCTAAGGAATATACCTTTTGTCTTTTAAAAAATGACATGCCGGGTATAGGCCTACTGTATAGCCTACTGTGCTGAGTAAGTCACTTGTTGCTAACAAAAAAGACTGTGTCTGAAACAAAAGAAATCTAAACACTGTATCAGAGCAGATCAAGAGTATGGTTTTGTTCTGTATTTGCTTTAAGCTGGAAAAGAAAAATACCCTGGATTCTGCAGCAATTTCTGATAATTAAGTGCAGGAGGAGAGGGATAATAAGAATAAATAATAATATTATACTCTTTCCAAGACTTTTTCTAGATCCTATATTTTTCCACAATTAATAGGGAAATCACTGTAAATACAATTGCTTATTCTACTGTGTGTGTGTGTGTGTGTGTGTGTGTGTGTGTGTCACTGGGATGGCACATACACAGGATCAGTTTTGGGCAAGTTACTTCCAAAAATGTAATACATTATAGATTACTAGTTATTGTCATTTGAAAGTATATTAGTTATATTACCTGTCCAGGGTGTACCCTGCCTTTTGCCCGACGTCAGCTGGGATTGTCTCCAGCCCCCTGTGACCCTGTACACAGGATAAGCAGTTGACAATGGATGGATGGATGGATGAACATTGTATAATGTCAAAAACAAAAGGATTAAGCTATACATGTGACATATAGATAATCACCAGCACACCCACAGGCCTTCACACAAGCTGACTGAATCTCAATCAGTATGCTTGCCTGTATGTCTATAGCATGGACATACACGCTAATACTGTAACTGTAACAGTGGATAATAACACTTAAAAGTTTAAAACAATCTTTCAACCAGATTTCTGGAATAAAATAATAATGATCTCAGAATGGATCTTTAGTCTGTCTACCATCATCTTATAGAAGTTTTTTTTAATGATTAACACGATATTCTGAATTTATCTTATTGACAGATATTTTATTAAGTATTTTATTAATTTGCAGGATTGCCATTATAATTCAGTTCAAAAACACAAACCAGACACAAGCTTTTATTTTGCAACGTAGAAGCTTGTGGATGGCACCAGGGCAAGAGACTAGAGGCTCCAGCATGCAGTCATACAGTCTTGCCACTGAGGGACACTGCTTCGTAGGCTCGTTCCACGGTTGGAGATCATCCACTGCACATGCACAAATCAGAATGGACGGCACAGTGAGAAATGGGAAAACACATAAAGAAAAATACAGAAAACGTAAATTCGACCTATTATTTTGTTTTGGTTTCCTTGTTTATTATATTTCTCATTTTGAGCTGAAAGCAAGGAAACAAATGCCAGTTTTCATATTTGATTTATATAGAAAAACAGAAACACGAAATATTTATTAGTTTTTTTGTTTTTGGTTTGCCAGATTAAATGGAATAATTGAATGATCGGATGATAAACGGACCAGTGAGTTTAGTGAACTCTTGGAAACTAAGGATAAAGAAATAATCGTCACTAACTATGAACATAACAGACATTTTCTCATTTCACTTTATTTTTCATCATTTTCTCAACAGCAGCAGCTGAAAAACTTCCCCTCTACTTCACTGTCAGAGTTGGAGATGACGTCACTTTGCCTTGTGAAAATGTGATAGACGGTCAGCGAAAATGTGAATATACTACATGGGTCTTCAGGGGTTCAGCAGTAGCCCTGATTAAACTTGGGCAGATTGGTGTAAAGTCCAAAACTAAATCAGACAGACTGAGTGTTACAGAGAACTGTTCTCTGGTTATAAAGGTCACAGTCGAGGATGTTGGTCGTTAAAACAAGCTCCAGACTGTCATGTTTATCTGTCTGTTATTATCAGTGAGTATTTCCATCATAATGTTTTCAGCTCAAACTGTCTTGTTAGAACAATATACTGAAACATTACAATAATTATGATCACAGTGATGAAGTTAACTTTACTCTTGTTGTCTTTTTCTCAAAATATCTCCATCTTCACCAGTGACTGAACGTAAGGACGCTGATGAGGTGACATTGTGGTGCTCTGTGTCGACGCGTGAACAGTTCTGTAGACACACAGTGAAGTGGCTGTATGAGGGTAAAGATGTGGACAAAGATAACAAAGAAATGAAGACATGGCAGGCTGACTGCTCGGCCGCTGTGTCTTTCCTGGATTCTCATTTTAGTAACAAATCAAAGTCTAACTTGAAGTGTGAAGTGACAGATGGTTACTCTGGAAAAGTGCAGCTGTTCACCTTCAGCCCTCAGTCCTCAGGTGAGAAAACAGGTGAGAATATGCTGAGCTGTTGACTAAAACCACCAAAACATTTGTTTATTTGATGACTTTTTAAGATGACATCATTCTTTCTCATTTAGTGACAGCAGATGGTAAACATGAGGGATTTTCTAACTGAACAGTTTTGTGGGTTGTGTTATTAATTCATACAGGTGACGCACAAACAGCAACAACAATAACAACTGAAAACACAAAATCAGTTACAGCCACAACAATGATACTTCAACAAACCTTCAAGGTAGTAACTCATCTTTCTCTAGTGTCAGCCTCTTTCTCTCTCCATAATAAACCTCATTTTACTTTTATTTTATTCATTGTCTAATTTTTTTGCATGTTTCTACTTTTAGGCATTTTTATGGCAAAACATAAAATAATGAAAGCCTCTTTAATTAAGTCACTTTCTAGAAAGACAAAACTGACCATTCATTGTATAAAACAGAAAATAGGAAGTGATCGAGAAAATTATAATTGATTTACTGATTTTTAATTGTATCTCTCCTCTTCTGAAGTCTGAATGTCAGAGCGACACTCAGCTGTGGGAGGAGATATTTTCTTATTCAGTCAGACGTCTTCACACAACACAAAATAACAAAATAAGATGTTGTCCTCTTTTATAGTCTATCGAGTTTGGTGGTGGTTGTTGCAGTTGCAGCTCTCTTAATAACTGTTGTTATTGTTGTTGGATTCATCAGATGGAAGAAAACTAAAGGTGAGAGCAACCACAGATATTATAAACAAGAAGTTTTGATGAACCTGGATTTTTATTGTTGAAGCTAAAGTCGACTCTCTTTTGTCTCTTCAGGAAAAAAACCCAGATGGATGAAAACACTGTGAGTTTTACGGCTGAGTAATCAAATGTTTCTACAGTTATGACAGAGCTGAATCAGCTGCTCTCTGACAGAGTCATCCAAATCTAAACAGCCTTCACAGAGCCAGTGTTTGACCACATGGAAGTAGACTCTGTTTGTTTGTTGTTTTCAGGGACGGAGCTTAAACCCTGCAGTGAGTCCAGAAAGCAGTCAGGACACGGTGAGATCTCACACTACACCCAGGACAAAGTTACACTCACTGTTTTTAGATTTGTTGTTCAAAATGTAGCTCTATGAGACACACAGTGACTCTTGAATCTAAGTTGTTTCTGCAAGAGAAGAAGTGGGGAGTCTGATGATGCAGCTGGACGACACCAGAACAGACCAGAACACAATCAAGTCCACATGTTACTGAGCAGCCATTATGTTGTCTTCTCTGTGTAGGCTGATCCTGAAGATGGTGTTTCCTACGCCTCCATCAGCTACACCAGGAAGACCAACAGTAAAGGCCGGGTAAGCTGTCTGATTGGTTCTAGTGATGATGGCAGTGAATGAAAACACTTCTCAGGTATAAAAACAGGACAGATTCTTTATTTTCCCTTTAAAGCCCAGGTCTACATGTAAGGATTGTGATGTCAGTGTGTCCAACACTTTGGTCCAGAACAAAATATCTCACCAACGAGCGGCCAGAGGAGCTCAGTACATGTACAAACAGATCTTTAACAGCACATCTTCAAACTGAACTGACTGGACTGACTGTTTTGTGTTGCTCTTTGTAATGTTGTTTGCTGTTTCGTTATTGAGCTTTGTGTTTATGTGCTGCTGGATATCATAATGTTGCATTTACCTGCATTATTCTGTCTCATTTAATGTTGTGTAATTTCTGTGTTGTGCTGTTTGTCTCTTTTCCAGGTTCTGGGTAAAGATGGTGATGATGAAGATGATGCAGTGACCTACAGCAGCGTGAAAGCTTCCTCTTCTTCTGCTGGAGCCTCAGCTGATCCCAGCGACCTCTACGCCACCGTCAACTAACCAAACAAATAAGAGACAACAGTGTAGTTACAGTTCATATTATTATTCATTACATATCATTGATAACTGATAAATGTTTTTATTCAACTTCTTTTATGATAATGTTCAGGATGTATTGCTGTAAAAAGCCTTTTAGTCCAGAAGGGGGTGCAGTAGGTTAACTAGTAGCACAATAACAACATTATCTGGCTGCTTGAAATGTAACTGAACATAATATATGGGACATTTAGCTTGATGTCAGGCACTTTAATGTTCTAGTGCTGTGTTTTTTTATGTTCTGGTATGAAAGTAATTAAAACAAACTCAGAGGAAGTGGGACAGTTTTGTTCTTGACTGAGTCACTTTTGAGAGTTGAATTAAACAGCTGAATGAGAGGAAAATGTGGAAACACCACAAGGGTTAAATTTTCACTGGTGTTAATTCCAGATACTCAAATAAAGCAACAACTGAAATACACAGTACACAGACACATTATCCTGCTGAAAGAGGCCACTGCCATCAGGGAATGAATTGAATTTATTTCAGGATAGAGATCATCTCATTTTTGCATAAAACATTCTTTAACAGAATGTTCACATTACATTTAGCTGACGATTATATCCAAAGCGACTTACTATTTTTACATATGTCAGAAGTTGCAACTTGGGGTTAAATGTCAAAGCATCACACTGCCTCCGCTGGCTTGTCCTCTTTCCATAGTGTATCCTGGTGCCACGTGTTCCCCAGGAAGAGGAACTTTCACGGTGCTGTAAGTCTCTGCATCATCTTCATCATCACCATGTTTACCCAGAACCTGGAAAAGAGACAAACAGCACAACACAGAAATTACACAACATTAAATGAGACAGACTGATGCAGGTTAATGCAACATTATGATATCCAGCCATCAATTTGATATAGAAAAAGTGATTCATAAGGCTAGGCCACCTTTTTCCTTTGCTCTGTGGTCCAAATCTGATGCTCACATGCTCATTGTAGGTACTTTCAACAGTGGACAGGGGTCAGTGCAGGCAAACTGACTGGTCTGTAGCTACGCAGGCCCACACACAACAAACCGGGGTGTACTGTGTGTTCTGACCGCTATTACCTTCTTCAGCAATCTGACTGCTTTTCTGTTGGATCGGACGACATGCGTCATTGAGCCTTGGCCATCCATGACCTTGTCACCGGTTCACAGCTTTTCTTTCCTTGGACCACTTTTGATAGGTACTGACCACTGCAGACTAAAACAAGGATAGAGATACAGAAACACAGAGCAGACAAGAACAAATCATGACAGCGTGCCCATTCTCCTGCGTCTAATGCTGGCCGCACAAGAGAGGATAACTGAATTTGGGTTCAATTCATCCCTCCCGACTATTTTTTTAGTTTTTTTTTTAGCCGAGGTTGGTTGAAACCGATTAAAGGCCCAAATAATCCGGTAGTGTGAGGGGTTTGCAGCCATAATCTTAAGGTTGCCAACTTTATTGGAGGCACCCCTGGTCATCATTAGAGGTTAAAAGATCCAAATCAAAAACATCTGAAATGAAGCACTAACAGCCAGAGAAGAGAGAAAGACGTCCCAGAAAGGGTGCGAGCTAATTCTGCATTTTATTCACAACGCTGCAACATTTCCATGCAGAATAGCCGCTGTATGCTGTCAAGCTAGATGGATGGCATTCTGAGACAAGGTCACTCTCTTTAGTTCTCCCGCACACCACCAGCAAGCTAAAGTGTCCTCTCAGATATAAGTGGACACAGTGGTTCAAAGCACCCTGATGCGTGGCTGGATGGCTTTGCGAGTGTATCTTCCAAGACTATGTGCTGCCAGGAACAGACCCATCCACTGCGATCCGTGCACACTTCATCCAAAGTGTGGCAGCGTCAGCAGAGTGTTGAAGAGATCTGCAACGCATTGTGGTCTTCATGACGCCCATTTGTGCTTTTCTATCTCTTGGATGTGTCGGCGCTTCTTAGAATCTGTGCTCGCAGGTGCAACCCAGAAAATTAAAAATTGTTCTGCTTACCTACAAAGCCTTACATGGTCAGGCACCAGCTTACCTCAAAAAGTTCCTCATACCTTACTGCCCAAAGAAAGCACTGCGCTCTCAAAATTCATGGCAGCTTGTGGTGCCTAAGGTCAGAGAGGGAGCCACAGCGTTTATTATCAAGTGCCTCTATTATGGAACCAGTTTGCCAATTTGGGTTTTGAGTTTCAGAGTTCTCTCCTAGGGTGACAAGCAGGCTTTGCATGCACAGCAAACCGCCAGTCACAATATTGTTCGTGATCAGTTTATCAAACAGCCAAAATAGGCCCCGCCACCATTAGTTGTCGACAACAACTTCAAAATAATGAAGGAACAGGAGAAAACCACTGATGGTGTCACGATCGTTGTGTGGAGGCAGGTTGGAGGACCCAAACGCAGGACACAGAGCGGAGCAGGTATAGTTCAACGAAGGGTTTTAATATAACCAAAAGGGAGCACACTTACAGGTGAGTGGCTGAATAACAGAAATCCAAAAGTACAGGGAGACAAGACAAGCAAGGCTGGTTACAGGCAGGCAGAGAGTACACGCACAACAGACTGAGGGGTAACATGAACAATGACCAGACAAAGACAAGACAGAAACACCAGGTATATATACACAGGGACTAACGAGCAGGGCGGGAGCAACACAGGTGACAGACATGAGACTAACGAGGCAGAGAGAGAGAGAGCAGGGGAAAACAGAGAGACTTGACATGACAAGCAGACCTGGGGCAGAGTGAATAAGCGAGAACACAGAACTAGAACACAGTACAGAGCTTAACAGAGAACACAAGACCCGGAGTAAACACTAAAGACATGAACTAACGTACAAGACCAAGAACATGACATGGAATCAAAGACCAACTAAATAACAGATAATGAACTGACCACACAATAACTCAGAGGAACTCAAAACACAACAGACTACATAGCAGATACTGGACACCAGACAGGACAGAACCCAAAACTCAACATACTAAGGCAGATATCAAACCCAAAAGTGCAACACAAAGGATGGACAAAACCGGCAGAGCGTGACAGATGGATGACCACACAGTGGATTTGATTGCAAAAAGAAAAGCATTAAAGCTCAAGAAAGCATAGTCTGCACTCAAAAAAAGTACTATTCAAAAAGACAATTTTCAGCTTATTTATTTAAATTTTCTATACATTTTCCCAAACCCACACACAAAATTCTAGGATGCTTGAAATTCCTGTATTTTTTATATTGCAATATATATCGCAGAAAAGATAATTGTTGCAATATCAGTTTTTTCCAATGTTTTTGGTGATTTTGCACTTTAAATGAAACTTGATTGATTGATTGATCTGTGAGGAGGGACTTTGGTGACTACCAGAAGTAAACAAGCATAGTACACCGACTGTGCCTGATGTTCAGCTCAGGTGGTAATGGCCAGGCCAAACCCATATCAGTCCAGGAACCGTCTCAGGGGCGGCCTGTCACTAAGGTGATGTGGTGCTTGGTGCTGTGGTACTGGGACATTACTATTTATACGGTCCGCACATATCGGTAGAGGTGTCCTATTGGGTGGCTGTGTTTTCACTGGCTGAGAGTGTGTGTGTGTGAGTAGAGGAGGTTTTACCCAAAGAGTCCAGTAGAGGGCTCCACCTGAACTTATAGAACATTGACCTTACTGTTTATGTTGCTGAATGTAGGGTTTTAAAAAGGATTATTCTGATTAATAGCAGGTGGTTGGCCCGTGGATGATTCAGATGACGTCAGAGTCGATCTGCACATCACACCCATTTAACTCATGAATTGACGAGTGCAAAACAGCTGCTGATGTCAAATGAAGCTGTAATATCATCAAACGCATCCTCATTTCATGTTGTCATACAGTAATAATAGTATTTAGTCTGCAAATGTCATTCCATGAGAATAATCATGTGACGCAATGGGTGATGCAATTGGGGCTGTAGGCTACATTTAAGATCAATTTTACTTTTGTTATTTCTTACTGTGATGATGAAACTCTCACCTCAGGAAATGATCTCCTGTTACAGACAAAAGGCACACAGCCAAAAAGAAAGCCTGGGAGTTAACTATACTGAATTTCTGTGTAGCGCATGATTTTGTAACCTGTGGCTGTTGCTTCTTTGAACAGATGCTATAATGTGTTTTGCAACCTCAAGATTTTTCTTTCTACATGTCATAATGTTGACAACTGACATGCTCATCTGACTGATTTCATAGCGGTATGCTGTAGCAATGGACATGTGCCATGCATCATATTTAAATGACTTTGCTTTAAAATGACATCTCCGAAGCAAGGATGTCTTGTTTCAGTAAATGCCTGTTGCCTCAACTATGTTTGGATACCATGCCAAATGACTTAAGAAATCACGTGTTATTCATACACCTTTTGATGATACCAGGCTTCTTCTCTCCTCGCGTCTCTTCCTCAACTTCTCCGCTTGCTCCTCGGGCTGGAGGGACTAAGACGTGAGGCGAGGAGGCGAGGAAAGGAGGAAAGGAGGAAAGGAGGAAAGGAGGAAAGGAGGAAAGGAATTGAGTAGGTACATGAAAAGGCCTTCAGTCTTAGGGTGTTTATTAATAATTAAACAGAGGGAAAATATCAGCTTAGTCAGGAGAGATTTAATTGAAAAGAGGCTTAAAGAGTAATTAATAGGAAAAGAAATAGGAGATTTTAGAAAATGTGAAAGGGATGTATGCCCATCATGATGAGGGTGTTGTCTGCAGCAGATTGGCAGATGAGGCTGGGTGAGCAGGAGAATGAGTAGGAGAAGAGTAGTAGGAATTAAATACTCAGAGGGATCACAGACGACTGGTTCATCCATCAGCTCGTGAAGCGAAAAAAAAAGTACAGAAGTAGTTTTACACAGAATTCAGTAAGCGCCTCTTTGTCTTATGTCATAATAAAGAGTTGAGTATCTGTTCCTGTGAGCTCATGTGTTTCTGATGTTCATCTGGTCATCATTAGTCATCTCCAGAGCTCAGTTGTTAATCAGTAAAATATCATCTTATCTGTGTTCTTCAGCAGCTGCTACAGTATCACCATATTGCACCATGGACATCAGGAGTCAGATTCTGGTGGGAGAGGAGTTTGACTCTTCACCTGTCTGTTCATGTGTGCTGTCAAACATCACCATGGATCCTGTCTGTTTTCTAATAAACACTATCTAAGGATCGCAAGTTTATCTTAAGTAACTATCTTCACACCTACAACTTCCTCTTCTTCTTCTTTTCAGTTGGTGAAACACGTCATTGTCACAAATAGACGGGAATGAACAAAGTGTGAACTTGAGCCTTAATATAGTTTGTTTGTTTCAGCGTTAGATCAGTGACTTTGTTGTATGTGTTTGTAGAAGGTGGATCTTTGTCAGGCTGCACTGACCTCTGACATCTTTACTGACGGCTACATCTCATATTGCCGATCATTAATTTGGGGTCTCTGTCAGTCACTGTGGATGAGAGAAAACTCCATTTCTAAAATGTAAAAGTGAAAACTGTCACAGAGTTTTTGGCTGTTTGGACATCGACAAGAAATTCAGAGACTGAAATCTAAAACAGACTAAAAGTCACTATGAGGAAGTGACATCATCCTAACCACAGGAAGTAGCTGCTGCGTCTCTCTACTAAAGCACTAGTTTAGAAACTCAGACAGTTCTGAGCACGAGAACAAGAGACAGAAGAAGGAGAGACTCAGAGAATCATGATGGTTGAGTTCAAATGGATTTCTTTATTTCTTCAGCGGTGCTTCAGTTTACAGGTAAGAATACATATATCACATATATAAATGGAAGGCACATTGTAAAAAATAACTTGATCAATATTATTAAAGATTCTTTATTAGCTACATTTGATTTAAGAAAACCAAATCTGTTGTTTCTAATGTGGTGAGTTTAGTGAACTCTTGGAAACTAAGGATAAAGAAATAATCGTCACTAACTATGAACATAACAGACATTTTCTCATTTCACTTTATTTTTCTCAACAGCAGCAGCAGAAAAACTTCCCCTCTCCTTCACTGTCAGAGTTGGAGATGACGTCACTTTGCCTTGTGAAAATGTGATAGACGGTCAGCAAAATGTGAAATACTACATGGCTCTTTGAGGTTCAGGAAGCCAGCATAGTAGAGCTGATTA